AACTTGATGTGGGAGTCTCCCGGGGCTGCCGTGAGAAAGCACCACACACCGGGAACCTCAGCAGCAAGGATTTGTTCTCCCACGGCACTGAGACCAAGCTATCTGCAGCGGGGCGTCTGCTCCAGGCCTCTCTCCAGGTTCTGGAGGTCTTTGGGCAGTCTCTGGTGTGCCCAGGCTTGTGGGCGCGTCACCACGATCTCGGCCTCCATCTTCACGTGGCATTCTCCCTGCGTGCACATCTGAGTGTCCGCATGCGCCCTTTCCAGAAGGAGACTAGTCCTACAGGGTGAGGGCCCACCCTGGTGATCTCACCTTCTTTATCATCAACAAAGACCCTGCTTCCAGTAAGGCCATCGTCTGTGTTATTGGGCTTAGGACTTAGACATATATCATTTTGTGGGACACATTTCAACTCATAACACTAGTAAATATAGAGAAGAAAGTAAAAATCATGTGTGATCCTGCCACCCAAGATAAAATACCTAAATCTAAAATGTTGAATATATTCTATACTTTTACGAAATACGGATTACGCTGTATATAAACTTTCACATTTGGCATTTTAAAGGTTAGCATTAATTTCCCATTATCCCAAAGTGATGTTTCGTGGCTGCATAATCAAGAGAAAAATTTATGGCTGGGCATGGTGGCTCATGCCTGTAATCCCAGAACTTTGGGAGGCCGAGGTGGGTGGATCATGAGGTCAGGAGTTCAAGACCAGCCTGGCAAACATGGTGAAACCCCGTCTCTACTAAAAATACAAAAGTTAGCTAGGTATGGTGGTGGCTGTCTGTAGTCCCACCTACTCGGGAGGCTAAGCCAGCAGAATTGCTTGAACCCGGGCGATGAAGGTTGCAGTGAACTGAGGTCATGCCATTGCACTCTATCCTGGGCAACAGAGACAGAATCCATCTCGGTAACTTACAATTTTACTGAGAAAACCTCAGGGCTAGTGCGCTGTGGACTCGTTCATGTGCATGCAGGGCCTCCCTTTCCATCTTGGTGGTGGGCACCATGCCAGGCAGCACTGGGCAGAAGGGTGTGAGGAGGGCGTGTTTGTGAACTGAGGAGGGTGGAGCCTCTGAGAGGGCAGCAGGCATCAGATGTGTGTGCAGCTGGTCCAGGTGGCTGGAGGTGGGCTACAGGGGCTCCTGTCAGATGACCAACCTCCAGCACAGGCAGGCCTGGGACAGAGGCTGCCTCTGTTGTGACAGGTGGCTGTACTGCTTGTTGGTTGTGGTGGCCTGGTCCTCCCTGGGTTCTGGGAGCCGATCTGCGCTGCGTGAATCCAAGCCCTGTGCTGCAGGACATGTTGTGTTTATCACAGGAGGGTCACTCTTAACACTATAGACTTTTTTTTTTTAGTATCAGCTTTAGATTCACAGGAAAGTTGAACATAAAATACAGAGTGTTCCCCTGCACCCCTGGCCTCAGTATCCCAAAGAGAGTGGCTGTTTGTTGCAGTCGTGACCCCTTGGACACAGCATCATCACCCACAGGCCACACGACCTCAGGGTCCAGCTGCTGCTGTGCAGCCTGTGGTTTGGATGCACGTATCCTGACGTGGACCCACGGCTGTGGTATCATGCAGAGTAGCTTCACTGCCCCGGGGCCCCTGTGCTCCTGCTACGCATCCCTCCGTCCCTCCCTCTCCACAGCCCCTGGCGTCGCTGATCTTTGTGCCGTCTCCACAGTTTTGCCCTTTCCTGGATGTCACAGAGTAGGAACCCTACAGAGTGTCGTCTTTGTAGCTGGTCTGCTTTCACTCAGCAGCGTGCATTTACCGTCCTTCTGTGTCTTTTCAGGGCCTCGTGATGTTCTGTGGACTGGGTGGACACTGAGTGGTTTATCCACTCACCTCTGAGGGTGTATTGGGTCACTTGCAGTTGTCTCTATGGTCTTTTCTTATGGAGAAGTGAACAGTAAACAAAGCCAGCCACTGGCCCCTGAACTTGGTTCTGACCTCTGTCTCTGACCTGCCTTGATGAGCAGGTGTCCCTGCGTGGACTCTTGCTGTGTCATGGTGCCCCTGCTCCATGTTCAGAGCCACCTGGACAGTGATAGGAGGACACTGTGCCTTCTGCTGAGGAAACACTCCTTGGCATGGACTCCTGCTGTGTCATGGTGCCCCTGCTTTGTGTCTGCGTGGACTTTTGCTGTGTCATGGTGCTCCTGCCCCATGTCTGCATGGACTCCTGCTGTGTCATGATGCCCCTGCTCTGTGTCTGCGTGGACTCTTGCTATGTCATCGTGCCCCTGCTCCATGTCTCCGTGGACTCCTGCAGTGTCATGGTGTTTCTGCTCCGTGTCTTTGTGGACTCTTGCTGTGTCATGGTGCCCCTCCTCCGTGTCTTTGTGGACTCCTGCTGTGTCATGGTGCCCTGCTCTGTGTTTAGAGCACCTGGACAGTGACAGGAGGACACTGTGCCCTCTGCTGAGGAAACACTGAAACCAGATCTTATAACACATGGAGTTCGCTAACAGATTTTCAACATGGATAATGCTGATGGGAGAGAGGGGTGATTGTAGTCTCTCGGGGGTCTTTGAGGCCTTGTCCAGAGACTGTTGGAGATATTCCCTGCCCCAGGATCCTGTGTGGTGGTGCACAGCCAGCTGAGCTGTGTGCATGCCACTACATCGTCACTCTTGGGCTCGAAACTACCTTTGCTTAGTCCCCTGATTTTTTTGTCAGAGACTAGACTACTAATTTCTAACCTGGGCCTGAGACACTTAACAGTGTATTGCGATTTTTTTGGGGGGTGGGGGGGGGGCCTCACAGTCTCTCTCTGTCATTCAGGCTAGAGTGCAGTGCCACAGTTAGATAGCTCACTGCAGACTCAATCCCCCAGGTTCACACCATCCTCCTGCCTCAGCCTCCTGCCATCCTCCTGCCTCAGCCTCCTGACTGTCTGACACCACAGGCGCACGCCACCACATCTGGCTAATATTTTGTTTTAATAGAGATGGGGTCTTTCTATGTTGCCCAGGCTGGTCTCACACTCCTGGACTCAAGCAGTCCTCCTATGTTAGTCTCCCAAATTGCTGAGATTACACGTGATCTCTAACTGTTTCAGTGTCGCCAAATTCTCCAAACACATTTTAATTTTACTGACTCAAGACAGACCGGGCTTGTTGGCTCTTTGTGGTCATTTTTGGTAGGTGAATGTTGTACTGTTTCAGCGACAGGTGATCCGTGCCTCAAGGTCCTGTGTTGCCACCCAAGGCAACTGCTTTGACCAGGGATGCAGAGTCCCATGCCCAGGATGCAGGCTGGTGTGCTGGTGCTGAGCTAATTGGGAGACGTTGCCAGAGTTGTCTGGCCACTGCCTGCTGCCGAGGGCTCCACTCTAGTCCCTTCCTTGTTCATAAGATGCTCAGAGGAGAGGCTTCTGGATCATCTTCATCTGGACATTCCAACGGCAGTACTAGGTCAGCATCCACAGAAGCACACTCTAAAATTGGGAACTGTGTCTTACTCTTCCTGAGTGAAAAGGGAAAGTTTCATTATTCCTCAGCCTGAGGCAGGTGGGCCCTTTGCCATCCACATCCATGACCTCCAACCGGAGTCTACTCTTCCCCATTGCGATACAGTCATGGGAGGCGACTGCATCTCCACAGAAGCCTCTCTTTGTACAGAAAGGAGCTTGGATAGCAGCAAGGCTGGCCACGGGAAAAGCCTGCTGCCTGTGTATCCCCCTGTGCGGCTGGCAGGGAGTGATATGGTGCTGGGAATCCAGAATTACTCGGAAGACTCAGAAAGCTTCAGCTTCTTTGAGAAAACTCGGATTTTGTAATGTACATCGAGTTGACCAGCATTTAGGTGGAATCTGTGGAGTTGGACTTGGTGCGAGGCATTGCTGTGAAGGGGTCTTGGCTGGTGTCTGTCCTGGACATCTGTCCTGGACAGATGGCTGTCTCTGCCGTGCTCCTCTTGACCAGGCCTCACCCTCAGGACTGTGAGATGCCCTTGGATGTGGAGGCACCTGAAGAGCTCTGGCTCTGTGGGTTTATCTGCTGACATTTGCCAAGTTAAACCTGAAGGATTGTAAATTGTCTGTATACCAGTTCTGATAAAAAATAGAAATAATAAACCCATTGCATGTAAGTAGCACATTCTTTTTTTAAAAAAATCCTGTATTTTACGCTATAAAAAATTAGTGATCTGACCAAGTGTACTGGCTCATGCCTGTAATCCCAACACTTTTGGGAGGCCAAGGTGGGCAGATCACTTGAGGTCAGGAGTTCAAGACCAGCCTGGCCAAGATGGAGAAACCCCATCTCTACTAGAAATATAAAAATTAGCCAGGCATGGTGGCGGTTGCCTGTAATCCCAGCTATTCGGGAAGCAGAGGCAGCAGAATCACTTGACCCTGAGAGGTGGAGGTTGCAGTGAGCCAAGATCGCGCCACTGCACTCCAGCCTGGACAGTAAGAGCATGATTCCATCACGAAAAAAAAGAATAGTGATTAGAGGAGCATTTTCTTTCTTTTTTCTCCCCTCCCCATTCCCCTTTCCCTCTCCGTTTCCCTCTCCCTTTCCACTTTCCTTTTTCCTTTTCTTTTTCCCTTTCCTTTCTTTTTGCTCTTATTTCCAGGCTGGAATGCAGTGGCGTGATCTCGGCTCACCTCAACCTCTGCCTCCCAGGTTCAAGCGATTCTCCTGCCTCAGCCTCCTGAGTAGCTGGGATTACAGGCGTGCACCACCATGCCCAGCAAATTTTGTATTTTTATTAGAGACGGGGTTTCTCCACGTTGGTCAGGCTGGTCTTGAACACCCAACCTCAGATGATTCACCTGTCTCGTCCTCCCAAAGTGCTGGGATTATAGGCATGAGCCACTGCGCCCGGCCTGAGGAGCATTTTCTTAAAATTTTACAGAAGGTTTTAGAAAAGCGGCGGCAGCGGCTCTAGCGGCAGTAGCAGCAGCGCCGGGTCCTGTGCGGAGGTTCCTCTAGCGGTGTTGTTTCTCGAGCAGCGGCAGTTCTCACAACAGCGCCAGGACGAGTCCGGTTTGTGTTCGTCCGCGGAGATCTCTCTCATCTCGCTCGGCTGCGGGAAATCGGGCTGAAGCGACTGAGTCCGCGATGGAGAAAACTTTAGAAACTGTTCCTTTGGAGAGGAAAAGGAGAGAAAAGGAACAGTTCCGTAAGCTCTTTATTGGTGGCTTAAGCTTTGAAACCACAGAAGAAAGTTTGAGGAACTACTACGAACAATGGGGGAAGCTTACAGATTGTGTGGTAATGAGGGATCCTGCAGGCAAAAGATCAAGAGGATTTGGTTTTGTAACTTTCTCATCCATGGCTGAGGTTGATGCTGCCATGGCTGCAAGACCTCATTCAATTGATGGGAGAGTCGTTGAGCCAAAACGTGCTGTAGCAAGAGAGGAATCTGGAAAACCAGGGGCTCATGTAACTGTGAAGAAGCTGTTTGTTGGTGGAATTAAGGAAGATACTGAGGAACATCACCTTAGAGATTACTTTGAGGAATATGGAAAAATTGATACCATTGAAATAATTACTGATAGGCAGTCTGGAAAGAAAAGAGGCTTTGGCTTTGTTACTTTTGATGACCATGATCCAGTGGATAAAATCGTGTTGCAGAAATACCATACCATCAATGGTGATAATGCAGAAGTAAGAAAGGCTTTGTCTAGACAAGAAATGCAGGAAGTTCAAAGTTCCAGGAGTGGAAGAGGAGGCAACTTTGGCTTTGGGGATTCTCGTGGCGGCTGAGGAAATTTCAGACCAGGACCAGGAAGTAACTTTAGAGGAGGATCTGATGGATATGGCAGTGGACGTGGATTTGGGGATGGCTACAATGGGTATGGAGGAGGACCTGGAGGTGGCAATTTTGGAGGCTGCCCTGGTTATGGAGGAGGAAGAGGAGGATATGGTGGTGGAGGACCTGGATATGGCAACCAGGGTGGGGGCTACGGAGGTGGTTATGACAACTATGGAGGAGGAAATTATGGAAGTGGAAATTACAATGATTTTGGAAATTATAACCAGCAACCTTCTAACTATGGTCCAATGAAGAGTGGAAACTTTGGTGGTAGCAGGAACATGGGGGGACCATATGGTGGAGGAAACTATGGTCCAGGAGGCAGTGGAGGAAGTGGGGGTTATGGTGGGAGGAGCCGATATTGAGCTTCTTCCTCTTTGCCATGGGCTTCACTGTATAAATAGGAGAGGATGAGAGCCCAGAGGTAACAGAACAGCTTCAGGTTATCGAAATAACAATGTTAAGGAAACTCTTATCTCAGTCATGCATAAATATGCAGTGATATGGCAGAAGACACCAGAGCAGATGCAGAGAACCATTTTGTGAATGGATTGGATTATTTAATAACATTACCTTACTGTGGAGGAAGGATTGTAAAAAAAAAAAAAAAAAAAATGCTTTTGAGACAGTTTAACTTTTTAATTGTTGTTTCTTTCTAGTGGTCTTTGTAAGAGTGTAGAAGCATTCCTTCTTTGATAATGTTAAATTTGTAAGTTTCAGGTGACATGTGAAACCTTTTTTAAGATTTTTCTCAAAGTTTTGAAAAGCTATTAGCCAGGATCATGGTGTAATAAGACATAACGTTTTTCCTTTAAAAAATTTAAGTGCGTGTGTAGAGTTAAGAAGCTGTTGTACATTTATGATTTAATAAAATAATTCTAAAGGAAAAAAAATTTTTACAAACCCCATTTATTGTGGCTTACTAAAAGACAGCAGGGTTCTCCTAGCTGTTTCTGCATCAGTCTTTTGTAAATATGTTCTGGTTGAAGTATACCAAAAAAAAAAAAAAAAAAAATCTAGTTGGAAAATGGAAGAGTGTTTTAATAGCTTTCTGACTTAATTTTGGAGATTTTCATTGATGCGACAGCAAAACCCAGCAGGTGTTGGTGTTGTGAGAGTCTGCAGCAGCAGAGGGGGCTGCCCTCATGTCTCAGGGTTCCCTTGGGCCTCTCTGGCAGTGGGTGTGACTCCCCTGCCTGTGTGTCCACATCTGGACATGCACCCAGGTCAGCACACAGTGTGCACCAAGGGCCAGTTTGCTGCTATTGACTGTTGTGCATCTCCAGATGTGGGTTTACTTGATTTCACTGCGTCAGAAAGCACGACCGATCTCATCAAGGGGGACTTTTAATTCTTCAGAAACTGTCTGCTCATGAAGTTTTCCAAAATTCTTACCTTTGGAAAACTGAATTTTCACATAGACAAGTTGTTGAGATGTTCTATATGAACTTGCAGCCTTCCTTTGTTCACTTTTCGGAAACGATCAGCCAGTACTCATGTCTGAACAACTGGAGTTTGCATGTCGGTCATTCTTTAATGGAAGAATGGTGCTTCCTGTCCAGAGGCTGCTGTGTCTCGGGTGCGGCAGCAGTGTTTTGTACATACTTGATTTGTCGTGAAGGATACGCACAGGATGAGTGCTGTGGGCTTGGGACGTAGTGCATGTCAACAGATGTACTGCACAGCAGCTCTCCAGTGAGCTGGATCGTCACCCAGCTCAGAAGGCATTGTCATCAGAGGGTAGTTTTATACCTAGGGAGCAGCTGCGCCAAGCTCTTCGGTCCGTGTGAGAATATGTAGTTGAATGAAGCAGGTCAGCCTGTATGCTTATTGACAGTTTTTAAACATTTCACACCCTTAGGAGAGTCTGCTTGTATCAGTTACCTCCCCCAATACATTTACTTGCAAATGTGTATGCAGTTTTAGAGGGTTCTAATGTAGTGACCCTGGGGAATGAGTCTCTTCCTGGGATTCTTACAGACATGAAAGATTTGGTTCCCCATTAGGGTGGGTCTGTGCCTTTTCCTGGTTGCATGCTCACAGATGCAGCACATGTCCCAGTTGTTAGCTAGCATCACAGAGCTGTCTCCTTCCTTTTATCTTTGCATGCCAGTAACACACAGGCTATGTCCCCACAGTGCAGGACTGGGTTCTTCTTTAACAGCTTGCCACCAGGGTCCCAGGATTATGGAGCTGGAAAAAGTCCAGCCCATTCCTCTGGCAGTACACAGCCCTTCCCTGGGGCTCAGCCAGATTACTTTGCTTGTATAATTCTTCCTGTTAAGATGCTGCCTTAACATTGACCAAGCATCTCACTTTCTAGCTGGTTTGAGTGGTGCTGTTCTGTTCTTGGTGTTCTTTCATCTTGTTCTGTGGTTCAGTCTGGTCACCTGGTTTAATAACTTGTCTTTGTTTTTCAAAATTGTTCAGATCTTTTAAGATGATCTGGATTGCGGTGAGTTAAAAACATACTATGATGTGTTTGCCGGTTTTGAGATTTTTTTTTTTTCAAGACTAGTCAAGTGCAGTAGTGAGAAGAGGGGAAAGAGTAGAACAGGGAATTGGATCTGTAACCGACTATGAACAATCAATTGAGATAACTCACTACCTTCAGACCAGCCAGGTTTGGAAATCTTTTTTAACAGTTAGGGGGTACTCTCATCAGCTCTTAAGTAGCCTTGGAGAAATTGCCACCTCTGAATTGGCTGCAAATGAACTTTGAGGCTTTCCAACAATGCTACAGCCAACCTGCCTAAATTGGAAGACCAAGGACAGGCAACAGCACTACTCTGAACATTTAAAAAATAACTCAGGCCGGGCGCAGTGGCTCAAGCCTGTAATCCCAGCACTTTGAGAGGCCGAGGCGGGTGGATCATGAGGTCGAGAGATCGAGACCATCCTGGTCAACATGGTGAAACCCCATCTCTACTAAAAAAAATACAAAAAATTAGCTGGGCATGGCGGCGCATGCCTGTAATCCCAGCTACTCAGGAGGCTGAGGCAGGAGAATTGCCTGAACCCAGGAGGCGGAGGTTGTGGTGAGCCGAGATCGTGCCATTGCACTCCAGCCTGGGTAATAAGAGCGAAACTCCGTCTCAAAAAAACAAAACAAAACAAAACAAAACAAAACAAAAAACAAACTCAATAACCTCTTGTGTTTAGCTCTTTAGGCCATTTATTATGGAAATGGTTATATATAATTTTACAGCATCCTTAAAGAAGCTCTTTATCATGAAATATGACTCCTGTATATGAAAGTGGTCTTTTCAGGTTTTATTGAGACGAGGAGTAGAAAATACCCTCATTTTTCCACAAGAGCTATTTTTGTTTGTTTGTTTTTTAGTTTCTATTATTATTATTATTATTTTTTTTTTAAGATAGAGTTTCGCTCTTGTCACCCAGGCTGGAGGGCAGTGGTGCAATACTGGCTCATTGCAACCTCTGACTCCCAGGTTCAAGCAACTGTCCTTTGTCAGCCTCCCAGGTAGCTGGGATTACATGTGCAATCACCACCACACCCAGCTAATTTTTGTATTTTATGTAGAGATAGGGTTTCACCCTGCCAGGCTGGTCTTGAACTCCTGACCTCAAGTGATCCACCTGCCTTGGCCTCCCAAAAGTTCTGAGATTATAGGCGGGAGCCACCACATCTAGCCCACAAGAGCTATTTTTATAATGAGAAGTTTCCTGAGGAGTGAGAGTGGTGTGGCAGGTATGGAGGAGAGGAAGATGCCTGCTTTTCAGGGACAGGGAGGCCACTGTGGAATTGCAGTCCCAGAATGTGCCTGTGTCATGGAAAGAAGCAGGTCAGAGGCTCCTGCTGCCTGCCCATGGACCTCAGCAGGACCTTGTGCTCATGGCATGGAGTGGCCTGGGGAGCCTGCGTGGAACCTGGGCTGTGATCGGGCGAGTCTCCAGTTGGGTTAGGGAGGTGGGGAGGAGCAGTCTGTGAGCTATAGACACTGCTGTCTTCCATTCAGCAAACACTGGGGTCTGGGAACCCACATTCACTTTTGACATATAGTGGTTTGAGCTTTCCTTATTCATAGCTCTCACAATTATATTAGTCTCTATTACAAGAACTTTCCTTTGTGATTTTTTCGCTCTTGTTTTTATACATCTTCCTCATGCAGATCAGAATGATTATTCCCACTGTCTGCCATGTCTTCTTCTATTCATGAAATATTTAGAGCCTGTTTTGTGCAGGATGCCAGGCAGAGCTCTGCCGGATTCCAGAACAAACGGTAGTACCCCACTTGGAGTAATTCCTACCTGTTTGCATCAGCCAGCTACTTCCCCTTTAATCTTTCAAGATTTTCTGAGGTGGACCTTCTTACTCCTGGTAAGAGGAAAATAAGCCTGGCATGCTCCCTCCCATAATCCCAGCACTTTGGGAGGCCAAGGCAGGCAGATCACTTTGAGGTCGGGAGTTCAAGACTAGTCTGGGCAACATAGTGAAACCCGTCTCTATTAAAAAATACACATACACACAAATTAGCTGGACATGGTGGTGGACGCCTGTAATCCCAGCCTGTAATCAGGAGACTTAGGTAGGAGAATTGCTTGAACCCAGGAGGCAGAGGTTGCCGTGATACAAGATCGCGCCACTGCACTCCATTCTGGGCAACAAAGCGAGACTCCCTCTCAAAAAAAAAAAAACCAGGAAACTCAAGTTGAATGTGTGCAATGGACTCGAGTTATGTGTGTCGTGGACTCTTTTCATCCCAGGGTGTGAGCCATGTCACCTGTGAGCACAGCTGAATGAGGTGGGCATGGTGACCTCAAGGTATTTATGATGTAGCAAGAAGGTGCTAGGTCCTGAGAGAGACTTCCAGAAGCTCCCGTAAGAGGAGGTGTGCAGGGCAAAGGAGAGGGAGGGAGACTGTGTTTCCTTGGGGACTGGGCTTGCCAGAGGCTCTACTGAGGGCTAGCATTTACATGGGCTTTGAATAATAAGTAAAATGTGAAGAAACTGTATGGAGTTTACAAAGGAAATTTTGGGGGAAACAGAAAGGGCCTTGCTGACTGTAGATAAGTCACTCAGTTCAGATGCAGGTAGATCCCAAGGTCGTGAGCAGACACAAGTTCACTCTTGAAGGTGTTTTTCTGTATAGTTGATGACACGTATTTCCTGTGGAGTTGGTTAAATGTATTCCCAGTTTTCTTTTTTCCTAACCTAGTGTTAAGAGAAAAGCAGCTTTGGGGGACTTCCTGTCCTAGGAGCCTAGTTAAGTGCAGGTTCTGGGTGTGCTGGAGGTACTAGACATGGTTGTCTGTGAACCTGACCGTGTTGATTGGGTGTGCTCTTGTAGGCTGACATGCGAAGTGCATTCCAGATGCTGAGTTAAGCATGAAAATTCTGTAGCTCGGCTCTGAGGGACACCTGAGATAGGTTTGCTGCAGCACAGTGCCTGCCGAGAATCAGTGCTCAGCATGTGTTCTTGAACTGGATGCAGATCCTGGAGCATCTCAGCATGGCATCAAGGGTGCTGCTCATCTAGAAAGTGGACTGGCAGACCCATTGAGGTGTTTTCAAAAATTAAACATTGTTTTTCTTGTTTCCGTTTTTAACCATTGTAGAAAATGTAAGATAACATGAAAAGAGTGAAAATCTGCCTTATACTCCCTTATCCAGGTAATGAACTTCAGCTTATTATTTATTCCTTCAGGAAAGACCCATCATGTCCTTACTGATTTTCTGTTAGCTTGTCCTCTCAGTGGTTGAGAACAAGGTGTTAAAATTGTGACCACAGTTTGTGGTTTTGTGTATCGGTCGTGCAGTTCTAACAGGTTTTACTTCATGAATTTCTAAGCTTAGTAGGGCTCTGAGAGGGAAAAGGGAAATTTTTTCTTCTGCTCTCATACCAGAGCAGCAGTCAGCCCAGAAAACACA